CCCTTCCCCCCCCCCCCCTTTCATCCCCCCCCCCCCCAAAAAAAAAACCCCCCCCCCCCCCCCTTCCATCCCCCATCCTTTCCCTTTCCTTTTCCCCCATCCCACCCATCTTTCCCCCCAAATCCCCCCCCCCCCCACCCCCCAAATGCCCCCCCCTTCCATCCCCCCCCCCCCCCCCCCCCTTTCCCACCTTTCCCCCCCCCCTTCCATCATCCATCCCCACCCAACCCCAAACCCCCCCCCCCCAAAAAAATCCCCCCCAAAAAAATCCATCCCCCCCCAAACCCCCCCCCCCCCCCGTTCACCCAAACCCCCCCCCCCCAAAAAAAAACCCCCCCCACCCAACCCCCCCAAAATTTTTTTCCCCCCCCCCCCCCCAATCCTTTTAAACCCAAACCCCCCCAAAATTTTCCACCCAAACCTTCCTTTCCCCCCAAAATTCCATCTTTCCCCCCCAAACCCCCATCCCCCCCCCCCCCCCCCCCCCCCCCCCCCCAAAAACCCCCCCCCCCCCCCCCCAACCCCCCCCCATAAACCCCCCCCAATCCACCATTTTTCCCTTGCCACCCATCCCCCCCCATCCATCCATCCCCCATCCTTTTCCCCCCCCCCCCCCCCTTCCCCATCCCTTTTTCCCCCCCTTCCCTTCCCCCATCCCCCCCCCCCTTTCATCCCCCCCCCCATCCCCCCCCCCCCCTTCCCCCCCATCCCCCCCCCCCTTTCCCAATCCCCCAAAACCCCCCCCCCCCAACCCCCATCCCCCCCATCCCCATTTTTTTCCCCTTTCCCCCCATCCATCCTTTTCCCCCCCCCCCCCAAAACCCCTTTTTTTTCCCCCCCAAAAAAAACCCCCCCCCCCCCCCAAAAACCAAAAACCCCCCCCCCCCCCCCTCCCATCATCCTTTCCCCCCATCACCCATCCAAAAAACCCTTTCCCCTTAACCCCTTCCCCTTTGTTTAAAATTTTTAAAAAAAACCTTTTTTTCCCCAAAATTTTTTTTGGGGGTTTTTAAAAAAAAACCCTTTTTTTTTTTTTTTAAAAAAAAAAAAAACCCCCCCCCCCTTTTTGGGTTCCCCCTTTTTAACCCCCGGGGGGGTTTTTTTTTTTTTTTTATAAAAATTTTTTTTTCCCAACCCCCCCCTTTTTTTCCCAAAAATTTTTTTCCCCTTTTTTTTTTAAAATTTTTTTTTTTTTTTTAAAATTTTTTTTTTTTTTTTTTAAAAAAATTTTCCCCTTTTTTGGAAAAACCCCCTTTTTTTTGCAGGGGGGTTTTTCCCCTTTTTTCCCCCCTTTTTTTTTTGGGGGGAAAAAAAAGGTTTTTTTTTTTAAAAAATTTTTTTTTTCCCCCCCTTTTTCCCCCCCCCCCCCCGGGAAGGGGAAAAAAAATTTTTTTTTCCCCTTTTTTAATTTTCCCCCTTTTAATTTTTTTTAACCCCCCGGGGGGTTTTTTTTAATTTTTTTTTTTTGGGGACCACCTTTTTTTTTTTTAAAACCCTTTTTTTTTTTTTTAAAAAAAAAAAAAACCCCCAGTTTTTAAAAAAAAAAAAACCCCCGGTTTAAAAAAAAAAAAACCCCCTTTTTTTTTAAACCAAAAAAAAAACCCACCCTTTAATTAGAAAAAAAAAAAAAGGGGGGGGGTTTTTATTTTTTTTTTAAAAAATTTTCAAAAAAAAAAAAAATTTTTTTTAAAAAATTTTTCCCCCAAAAAAACCCAAAAAAAAAATTTTTTCTTTTTTTTTTTTAAAAAAAATTTTTTCATTAAATCGATGCCAAAGAAGCAGCGCTAACGAGCAGAAACATCCGTCTGAGCTTCTGCTCAATCAGTTGGCTTTTTATCAACGTTTCTGTTTCTCTGTTTCTACTAACGGTTTAGTGTTTTTCCTGTTTCTGGTTTCATACATTTTGTCAACCTAATAAGTTCTAAACATGAAGCAGCTGATTTATTCCTGCATTTTAATGCTTATCTCCAGATTCCCTTCAGGTGTTTTTCCTTAGTTAAAGCAGGAGACTAAAAATAAGCTCCTGTTGCAGTGAAGCAGAGAACGCTGCTGCTGGATGTATCTGCAGATGTTTGGGCTTCCAGCAGCTTTGCTCTCTGTGGTTCAGAGGTCCCAGAGCTGGAATCAGTGGAGAAGCCTGTTTTTTAATTTCTCTCTGTAACTTCTTTATCTTCTTCTCAGCCTGCTGCCTTCAGGTGCTTCCTCAGCTGCGCCTCCATCAGGCAGAGAGCATCTGATTGACCTTGTTTTATCTTCCCTCTAATCATTACTGCTCCTCCAGCTTTTCTGAAGCTCAGATCAGACATGGAGATTTTTCCTCACATTTTCATTTCAGTTTTACTGTTAACACACGGCTCATTAACACACGGCTGGGTAAAAATCCTCATTAACTCATTTATTAGCACAGAAATGCTAAGCTAATGCAGCTAGCCCCTATGTAATAGCAGTGAGAGCTAATCCAGTGAAATCTTAGGTTTGAAGGAGTTGATTTAGTTCTGGTTCTGGGAACTAAAGTTCAGAACTATTAAAATAAAACAGGATTTCCAGTCAAAGTTCATTAGAACCAAACAATCCAAACCAAAGCTAAATGTTGATGCTAACTGACTGACTTTCTCACTATATGTAACTTTTCACATCAAACTGGTGACTTTTTTATCTAGAAGTTGCTTGGTGACGACACACCATAACCAACAATTTCCTTTCTGGACACTTTATGATGCGTAGCCAGAGCAACCTTAGCAGCTTTTTACAACCAGGAGCAGCTCTTTAACATCTCTAATGCTGAAATAATACTTCACCAACCTTCACAAATAACAGCTAAGGTGAAAAGGAGGCGCTGGGGATACAGAGCAAGAGTAAGGAGAAGAGAGAGGAGCAGGAAATCCAAGCCCACTGCTGCATCAGTCATCATGGGCAACGTGAGATGTGTAGAACCCCCAACCAGAATATCAGCAATGTAGCATCATGGGTTTTACTGAAACTTGGCTGCAGGACAATTCAAAGGAGCTGCGTTTGCTGTGTTAGCGAACAACAGATGATGTCATCCAGGACATGTTAGGCTGAAGATTCATCACTGCAGACCAGATATTGAACTGAACTGCCCAGAGAGTTCTGGAGTGTTCTGTTAATAACCGTTTATATCTCACCTCCTGATGTTGCCAACACTGCAGGTGATGTCATCAGTTGTGTTGTTGCTAAGACACAACAGCCAGCATTTGTGGCAATAATTGGTGACAATCTGAATTTAAAAAAGAATTGTAAGGTAGAGGTGGGCGATACCGGGATTTTTTAATCGATCCGATACCAAGTAAATACTGGGTCAGTATCGCCGATATCGATACCGATACCGATACTTTTTACATTTAAGCTGCACTTGCCTGTTGCTTTTTTTCTATAAAGTTCTCAATCGTGGAATAAATAAGAGATTATCTAATGTTAGCTTATTTTAGCTAACAATTTTTAATGGGATAAATGTACTGGGTTTTTTCAAGGTCTTAACTACACTTTCTGAGTAATATATGATGTATAATGAAGTGCTGCAGACGATGACCACTGTTATCTACCTGGATATTCTCTGGAGGACTGAAACGCTTGGGTCAAAGATGTCTGTCTGAGGCTGGAGGCGGGTCTTTGGTCTCTCTCTCCATCCAAGTCTGAGTGAGCACTCACCCAGCAACCGGCAGCGCGGTTGTCTGTGTGACGTAGTGCTGAGTGGGCAGGCCAAGCTAAGCCTGCGCGCTGATTGGCTGGCGCCGCTGAGCCATGTGACTGTAGGAGAGGGGAGGGGGAGCAAAGTGCTGTTACACATATGGGGAAACTGGTGACTCCGCAGCAGTCAGCGCGCGCGAGAGAGGATAAAAAGTATCGATCTTGTTAAACGAATATTGTTCAATATAAATACCAGCGTTGGTATCGATAGTATCGATCCTGGGATCGATCCGCCCACCTCTATTGTAAGGAGAAGGACCCAGGAAGCTGCAGAAGCCCTGCAGGTTTGTTCTGAGGCTACAGACTGGGATGCTCAGTGTCAGCCGCATGGAGAGGATCAATGCAATGATGTAGATAACAGCATCCCTACCAGGACAGGGAAACGCTTCCCAAACAATAAACCATGGATAATAAACGCTATTGATTGATTTTATTAATCTAGGAAATAGCAGAGGCACATTCCTGGATTTTACTCTCCAGCAGCTTTCATTTTTCTCCCTGTTTCCTATTTTAATTTTGATGAAATATATTTATTTTTATCTATGAGCTGGAAATGTCCCCAGATTGGATTTTAGGAATCTGCTTCCATTAGCTTAAAAAAATAAAGTGAAATGTAATGTAGCTAAAGTAGCTAAAGCAGCTAAAGGCAGCTAAAGGCAGCTAAATGCAGCTGAAGGCAGCTAAAGGCAGCTAAAGGCAGCTGAAGGCAGCTAAAGGCAGCTGAAGGCAGCTAAAGGCAGCTAAAGGCAGCTAAAGTAGCTAAAGGCAGCTAAAGGCAGCTAAAGTAGCTAAAGGCAGCTAAAGTAGCTAAAGGCAGCTAAAGGCAGCTAAAGCAGCTAAAGCAGCTAAAGGCAGCTGAAGGCAGCTAAAGGCAGCTAAAGTAGCTAAAGGCAGCTAAATGCAGCTGAAGGCAGCTAAAGTAGCTAAAGGCAGCTAAAGTAGCTAAAGGCAGCTAAAGGCGGCTAAAGCAGCTAAAGGCAGCTAAAGGCAGCTGAAGGCAGCATCCTTCCTTTTAGCGACTGGAGCCACTAATCCACACTAACAGCAGCTTTCATTATAAAAGCTCCTAATTTTCTGTTTCCTAGGAGGTAATTAGTGATTCTGTAATAACTGTTAGCTGTGGATCCGTCGTTCCTCTGCTGTCCTAGTTCGGCTCTTTTGTCTCTCAGTTTTTTTACTCTTTGTCTCCTTCTCTCTTTTCTCTGCTGTTTTACTCCCTCCTCACTCCTCATCTTATTTTTTATCTTTTAAACCATATTTCATGTTGTTATTCCTCCTGGTTTGTGTCTGTAAACCATCATGGCTGCATTCCTTTCCTCCCTCTCCACTAACGCCATGGTTCCTGCTCCCTGGGCCTCCTCAGACCCCGTAGACCCTTTAGAGGAGGACCTTTTCCATCTCTTTGATAAATTCCCGACTCCCATGCCAGACACCAGCACTCCCATGATCCCCCCAGTGGGGGTCCAGGCTGTAGCGCTGTCCTCGGACTCTGTGCGCGTCTCGTGGGCCGACAACTCCATGACCAAGAACCAGAAGTCGTCAGAGGTCCGGTACTACTCCGTCAAGTGGAAGTCCAGCTTCTCCACCAGTGGAAAGTACAAGGTAAGAGAAGGTCAATCTTTCTGGCTGCAGCCTGGGACCAGAAATCAGAACCTCAGAGGAGAACTTAGAGTCAGCCGCTTATTTTCCCAGATGTCTGCTGGTTTTTACCAACCAAGCAGTGAGGATTAATGGGTCAGACACCCTGAGCTTTCAGCTGAACTGATGAATGTTTCTCCTGAACAATGAGCATCTTCCCTGCAGCTGGATTAGAACCAGGAAGACCTTCTGCATCTTTGGTTCCAGCTGTGGTCTGTAGCACAGCCCCTCCTGCTGAACACTGGGCAGCTTTTTATTCTGCTTTTCCTCTGAAACAAAGAACAACTCTAAATGTGGCTCTTCTGCATCTGCCAGCACCTGCACACAGTGATTGCTCATTGGTCCGTTTGTGACTGATGTCACCTCAGAAAGGCGGTCCCTGTGGAGAGCAAAGTGCATTCAAACTAGCAGCTTTTCAGACCCTCCTGCTCAGTTTATCGTCCTTCTTCAGCGAGGAGGCAGGAAGTCAGACGCAGCTCTGCAGCCTGCAGGCAGAGAGGAAGGCTGTTCTCCTGGTTCTCTGATTGAAAATCAGTCTCACATGGCGAAGCTTCTGCTGAGATTAGAGAGATGTAAATATAATATTTATCTTATTAAGGTTAAGAATGTCGATCTTTACAGAGCAGCCCAACAGAACCGCGTTTTGGCTCAGAAAACTGAACAGCAGTTCAATGCATGTTTCTAAACCCAAATAAAGGTTTGTTTTTGTTCCGCTCTATAAGCCTGGAACTCAACGCTATTTCTGAAAAGCTTAAATATTTAACCTCTTTCTGTTTCTGATTTGAATATTTCTCTCCCTGCTGGATAAAAGTTTTATCAAACATGCAGTTTTTTTACATTTTAGTTTTTTTTTATTTTTCCTCGACTTCGTTACAAGAAAAAACACATTTTGTTAATGGTTGGTTCCTCTGGTTCCTCTGGTTCCTTTAGTTCCTTTGGTTCCTTTGGTTCCTCTGGTTCCTTTGGTTCCCTTGGTTCCTCTGGTTCCTTTGGTTCCTCTGGTTCCTTTGGTTCCTTTGGTTCCTCTGGTTCCTTTGGTTCCTTTGGTTCCTCTGGTTCCTTTGGTTCCTCTGGTTCCTTTGGTTCCTTTAGTTCCTCTGGTTCCTTTGGTTCCTCTGGTTCCTCTGGTTACTTTGGTTCCTTTGGTTCCTCTGGTTCCTCTGGTTACTTTGGTTACTCTGGTTCCTCTGGTTCCTTTGGTTCTTCTGGTTCCTTTAGTTCCTCTGGTTCCTTTGGTTCCTCTGGTTCCTTTGGTTCTTCTGGTTCCTTTAGTTCCTCTGGTTCCTCTGGTTCCTTTGGTTCCTCTGGTTCCTTTAGTTCCTCTGGTTCCTTTGGTTCCTCTGGTTCCTTTAGTTCCTCTGGTTCCTTTGGTTCCTCTGGTTCCTTTAGTTCCTCTGGTTCCTTTGGTTCCTCTGGTTCCTCTTGTTGTTCTGGTTTCTCTGGTTCCTTTAGTTCCTCTGGTTCCTTTGGTTCCTCTGGTTCCTTTAGTTCCTCTGGTTCTTTTGGTTCCTCTGGTTCCTCTTGTTGTTCTGGTTTCTCTGGTTCCTTTGGTTCCTCTGGTTCCTTTGGTTCCTTAGGTTCCTCTTGTTCTTCTGGTTCCTTTAGTTCCTCTGGTTCCTTTGTTTCCTTTGGTTCCTTTGGTTCCTCTGGTTCCTTTGGTTCCTCTGGTTCCTTTGGTTCCTCTGGTTCATCTTGTTGTTCTGGTTTCTCTGGTTCCTTTGGTTCCTCTGGTTCCTTTGGTTCCTTTGGTTCCTCTTGTTCTTCTGGTTCCTTTAGTTCCTCTGGTTCCTTTGGTTCCTCTGGTTCCCTTGGTTCCTTTGGTTCCTCTGGTTCCTCTGGTTCCCTTGGTTCCTTTGGTTCCTCTGGTTCCTCTGGTTCCTTTGGTTCCTCTGGTTCCTCTGGCTCCTTTGGTTCCTTTGGTTCCTCTGGTTCCTCTGGTTCCTCTGTTTTCTTTGGTTCCTCTGGTTCCTTTGGTTCCTCTGGATCCTCTGGTTCCTTTGGTTCCTCTGGATCATCTGGTTCCCTTGGTTCCTTTGGTTCCTCTGGTTCCTTTGGTTCCTCTGGTTCCTCTGGTTCCTTTGGTTCCTCTGGTTCCTCTGGTTACTTTGGTTCCTCTGGTTCCTCTGGTTCCTTTGGTTCCTCTGGTTCCTTTGGTTCTTCTGGTTCCTTTAGTTCCTCTGGTTCCTCTGGTTCCTCTGGTACCTTTAGTTCCTCTGGTTCCTTTGGTTCCTCTGGTTCCTTTAGTTCCTCTGGTTCCTTTGGTTCCTCTGGTTCCTTTAGTTCCTTTGGTTCCTCTGGTTCCTTTGGTTCCTCTGGTTCCTTTGGTTCCTCTGGTTCCTTTAGTTCCTCTGGTTCCTTTGGTTCTTCTGGTTCCTTTAGTTCCTCTGGTTCCTTTGGTTCCTCTGGTACCTTTAGTTCCTCTGGTTCCTTTGGTTCCTCTGGTTCCTTTAGTTCCTTTGGTTCCTCTGGTTCCTTTGGTTCCTCTGGTTCCTCTGGTTCCTTTGGTTCCTCTTGTTCTTCTGGTACCTTTAGTTCCTCTGGTTCCTTTGGTTCCTCTGGTTCCTTTAGTTCCTTTGGTTCCTCTGGTTCCTTTGGTTCCTCTGGTTCCTCTTGTTGTTCTGGTTCCTCTGGTTCCTTTGGTTCCTCTTGTTCTTCTGGTTCCTTTAGTTCCTCTGGTTCCTTTGTTTCCTTTGGTTCCTCTGGTTCCTTTAGTTCCTCTGGTTCCTTTGGTTCCTCTGGTTCCTTTGGTTCCTCTGGTTCCTTTAGTTCCTCTGGTTCCTTTGGTTCCTCTGGTTCCTCTTGTTGTTCTGGTTTCTCTGGTTCCTTTGGTTCCTCTGGTTCCTTTGGTTCCTCTGGTTGCTTTGGTTCCTCTGGTTCCTTTAGTTCCTCTGATTCCTTTGGTTCCTCTGGTTCCTCTTGTTCTTCTGGTTCCTTTAGTTCCTCTGGTTCCTTTGTTTCCTTTGGTTCCTCTGGTTCCTTTAGTTCCTCTGGTTCCTTTGGTTCCTCTGGTTCCTTTAGTTCCTCTGGTTCCTTTGGTTCCTCTGGTTCCTCTTGTTGTTCTGGTTTCTCTGGTTCCTTTGGTTCCTCTGGTTCCTTTGGTTCCTCTGGTTGCTTTGGTTCCTCTGGTTCCTTTAGTTCCTCTGGTTCCTTTGGTTCCTCTGGTTCCTCTTGTTCTTCTGGTTCCTTTAGTTCCTCTGGTTCCTTTGTTTCCTTTGGTTCCTCTGGTTCCCTTGGTTCTTTTGGTTCCTCTGGTTCCTCTGGTTCCTCTGGTTCCTTTGGTTCCTCTGGTTCCTCTGGCTCCTTTGGTTCCTCTGGTTCCTCTGGTTCCTCTGGTTTCTTTGGTTCCTCTGGTTCCTTTGGTTCCTCTGGATCCTCTGGTTCCTTTGGTTCCTCTGGATCCTCTGGTTCCCTTGGTTCCTTTGGTTCCTCTGGTTCCTTTGGTTCCTCTGGTTCCTCTGGTTCCTTTGGTTCCTCTGGTTCCTCTGGTTACTTTGGTTCCTCTGGTTCCTCTGGTTCCTTTGGTTCCTCTGGTTCCTTTGGTTCTTCTGGTTCCTTTAGTTCCTCTGGTTCCTCTGGTTCCTTTGGTTCCTCTGGTACCTTTAGTTCCTCTGGTTCCTTTGGTTCCTCTGGTTCCTTTAGTTCCTCTGGTTCCTTTGGTTCCTTTAGTTCCTTTGGTTCCTCTGGTTCCTTTGGTTCCTCTGGTTCCTTTGGTTCCTCTGGTTCCTTTAGTTCCTCTGGTTCCTTTGGTTCTTCTGGTTCCTTTAGTTCCTCTGGTTCCTCTGGTTCCTTTGGTTCCTCTGGTACCTTTAGTTCCTCTGGTTCCTTTGGTTCCTCTGGTTCCTTTAGTTCCTTTGGTTCCTCTGGTTCCTTTGGTTCCTCTGGTTCCTCTTGTTGTTCTGGTTCCTCTGGTTCCTTTGGTTCCTCTTGTTCTTCTGGTACCTTTAGTTCCTCTGGTTCCTTTGGTTCCTCTGGTTCCTTTAGTTCCTTTGGTTCCTCTGGTTCCTTTGGTTCCTCTGGTTCCTCTTGTTGTTCTGGTTCCTCTGGTTCCTTTGGTTCCTCTTGTTCTTCTGGTTCCTTTAGTTCCTCTGGTTCCTTTGTTTCCTTTGGTTCCTCTGGTTCCTTTAGTTCCTCTGGTTCCTTTGGTTCCTCTGGTTCCTTTGGTTCCTCTGGTTCCTTTAGTTCCTCTGGTTCCTTTGTTTCCTTTGGTTCCTCTGGTTCCTTTAGTTCCTCTGGTTCCTTTGGTTCCTCTGGTTCCTTTGGTTCCTCTGGTTCCTTTAGTTCCTCTGGTTCCTTTGGTTCCTCTGGTTCCTCTTGTTGTTCTGGTTTCTCTGGTTCCTTTGGTTCCTCTGGTTCCTTTGGTTCCTCTGGTTGCTTTGGTTCCTCTGGTTCCTTTAGTTCCTCTGGTTCCTTTGGTTCCTCTGGTTCCTCTTGTTCTTCTGGTTCCTTTAGTTCCTCTGGTTCCTTTGTTTCCTTTGGTTCCTCTGGTTCCTTTAGTTCCTCTGGTTCCTCTGGTTCCTTTGGTTCCTCTGGTTCCTTTAGTTCCTCTGGTTCCTTTGGTTCCTCTGGTTCCTTTAGTTCCTCTGGTTCCTTTGGTTCCTCTGGTTCCTTTAGTTCCTCTGGTTCCTTTGGTTCCTCTGGTTCCTTTGGTTCCTCTTGTTCTTCTGGTTCCTTTAGTTCCTCTGGTTCCTTTCTTTCCTTTGGTTCCTCTGGTTCCTTTGGTTCCTTTGTTTCCTCTTGTTCCTCTGGTTCCCTTGGTTCCTCTGGTTCCTCTTGTTCTTCTGGTTCCTTTAGTTCCTCTGGTTCCTCTGGTTCCTTTAGTTCCTCTGGTTCCTTTGGTTCCTCTGGTTCCCTTGGTTCCTCTGGTTCCTCTGGTTCCTTTGGTTCCTCTGGTTCCTCTGGTTCCTTTGGTTCCTCTGGTTCCTCTGGTTACTTTGGTTCCTCTGGTTCCTCTGGTTCCTTTGTTTCCTCTGGTTCCTTTGGTTCTTCTGGTTCCTTTAGTTCCTCTGGTTCCTCTGGTTCCTTTGGTTCCTCTGGTACCTTTAGTTCCTCTGGTTCCTTTGGTTCCTCTGGTTCCTTTAGTTCCTCTGGTTCCTTTGGTTCCTCTGGTTCCTTTAGTTCCTTTGGTTCCTCTGATTCCTTTGGTTCCTCTGGTTCCTTTGGTTCCTCTGGTTCCTTTAGTTCCTCTGGTTCCTTTGGTTCTTCTGGTTCCTTTAGTTCCTCTGGTTCCTCTGGTTCCTTTGGTTCCTCTGGTACCTTTAGTTCCTCTGGTTCCTTTAGTTCCTTTGGTTCCTCTGGTTCCTTTGGTTCCTCTGGTTCCTCTTGTTGTTCTGGTTCCTCTGGTTCCTTTGGTTCCTCTTGTTCTTCTGGTACCTTTAGTTCCTCTGGTTCCTTTGGTTCCTCTGGTTCCTTTAGTTCCTTTGGTTCCTCTGGTTCCTTTGGTTCCTCTGGTTCCTCTTGTTGTTCTGGTTCCTCTGGTTCCTTTGGTTCCTCTTGTTCTTCTGGTTCCTTTAGTTCCTCTGGTTCCTTTGTTTCCTTTGGTTCCTCTGGTTCCTTTAGTTCCTCTGGTTCCTTTGGTTCCTCTGGTTCCTTTGGTTCCTCTGGTTCCTTTAGTTCCTCTGGTTCCTTTGTTTCCTTTGGTTCCTCTGGTTCCTTTGGTTCCTCTGGTTCCTTTAGTTCCTCTGGTTCCTTTGTTCCTCTGGTTCCTCTTGTTCTTCTGGTTCTCTGGTTCCTTTGGTTCCTCTGGTTCCTTTGGTTCCTCTGGTTCCTTTTGGTTCCTCTGGTTCCTTTGGTTCCTCTGGTTCCTTTGGTTCCTCTGGTTCCTTTGGTTCCTCTGGTTCCTTTGGTTCCTCTGGTTCCTCTTGTTCCTTTGGTTCCTCTGGTTCCTTTGGTTCCTCTGGTTCCTCTGGTTCCTCTGGTTCCTTTGGTTCCTCTGGTTCCTCTTGTTCCTCTGGTTCCTTTGGTTCCTCTGGTTCCTTTGTTCCTTTGGTTCCTCTGGTTCCTCTGGTTCCTCTGGTTCCTCTGGTTCCTTCTGGTTCCTCTGGTTCCTTTGGTTCCTCTGGTTCCTCTGGTTCCTTTGGTTCCTCTGGTTCCTTTGGTTCCTCTGGTTCCTTTGGTTCCTTTGGTTCCTCTGGTTCCTCTGGTTCCTCTGGTTCCTCTTGTTCTCTGGTTCCTCTGGTTCCTTTGGTTCCTCTTGGTTCTTCTGGTTCCTTTAGTTCCTCTGGTTCCTTTGTTCCTTTGGTTCCTCTGGTTCCTTTAGTTCCTCTGGTTCCTTTGGTTCCTCTGGTTCCTTTGGTTCCTCTGGTTCCTTTAGTTCCTCTGGTTCCTTTGTTTCCTCTGGTTCCTCTGGTTCCTTTGGTTCCTCTGGTTCCTTTGGTTCCTCTGGTTCCTTTGGTTCCTCTGGTTCCTTTAGTTCCTCTGGTTCCTTTGGTTCCTCTGGTTCCTCTTGTTGTTCTGGTTTCTCTGGTTCCTTTGGTTCCTCTGGTTCCTTTGGTTCCTCTGGTTGCCTTTGGTTCCTCTGGTTCCTTTAGTTCCTCTGGTTCCTTTGGTTTCCTCTGGTTCCTCTTGGTTCTTTGGTTCCTCTGGTTCCTTTGGTTCCTCTGGTTCCTTTGGTTCCTCTGGTTGCCTTTGGTTCCTCTGGTTCCTTTAGGTTCCTCTGGTTCCTTTGGTTCTCTGGTTCCTCTGGTTCCTCTTGTTCTTCTGGTTCCTTTAGTTCCTCTGGTTCCTTTGGTTCCTCTGGTTCCTTTGGTTCCTCTGGTTCCTTGGTTCCTTTGGTTCCTCTGGTTCCTCTGGTTCCTCTGGTTCCTTTGGTTCCTCTGGTTCCTCTGGCTCCTTTGGTTCCTCTGGTTCCTCTGGTTCCTCTGGTTTCTTTGGTTCCTCTGGTTCCTTTGGTTCCTCTGGATCCTCTGGTTCCTTTGGTTCCTCTGGATCCTCTGGTTCCCTTGGTTCCTTTGGTTCCTCTGGTTCCTTTGGTTCCTCTGGTTCCTCTGGTTCCTTTGGTTCCTCTGGTTCCTCTGGTTACTTTGGTTCCTCTGGTTCCTCTGGTTCCTTTGGTTCCTCTGGTTCCTTTGGTTCTTCTGGTTCCTTTAGTTCCTCTGGTTCCTCTGGTTCCTTTGGTTCCTCTGGTACCTTTAGTTCCTCTGGTTCCTTTGGTTCCTCTGGTTCCTTTAGTTCCTCTGGTTCCTTTGGTTCCTCTGGTTCCTTTAGTTCCTCTGGTTCCTCTTGTTTCCTTTGGTTCCTCTGGTTCCTTTGAGTTCCTCTGGTTCCTTTGAGTTCCTCTGTTCCTTTGGTTCCTTCTGGTTCCTTTAGTTCCTCTGGTTCCTTCTGTTTCCTTTGGTTCCTCTGGTACCTTTAGTTCCTCTGGTTCCTTTGGTTCCTCTGGTTCCTTTGGTTCCTTGGTTCCTTTAGTTCCTCTGGTTCCTTGGTTCCTCTGGTTCCTCTTGTTGTTCTGGTTTCTCTGGTTCCTTTGGTTCCTCTGGTTCCCTTTGGTTCCTCTGGTTGCTTGGTTCCTTGGTTCCTTTAGTTCCTCTGGTGTCCTATTGGTTCCTCTGGTTCCTCTTGTTCTCTTCTGGTTCCTTTAGTTCCTCTGGTTCCTTTGTTTCCTTTGGTCCCTCTGGTTCCTTTAGTATCCTCTGGCTTCCTCTGGTTCCTTTGGTTCCTCTGGTTCCCTTTAGTTCCTCTGCGTTCCTTTGGTTCCTATGGTTCCTTTAGTTCCTCTGGTTCCTTTGGTTCCTCTGGTTCCTTTAGTTCCTCTGGTTCCTTTGGTTCCTCTGGTTCCTTTGGTTCCTCTTGTTCTTCTGGTTCCTTTAGTTCCTTTGGTTCCTCTGGTTCCTCTGGTTCCTTTGGTTCCTTTGTTTCCTCTTGTTCCTCTGGTTCCCTTGGTTCCTCTGGTTCCTCTTGTTCTTCTGGTTCCTTTAGTTCCTCTGGTTCCTCTGGTTCCTTTAGTTCCTCTGGTTCCTTTGGTTCCTCTGGTTCCCTTGGTTCCTCTGGTTCCTCTGGTTCCTCTGGTTCCTCTAGTTCCTCTGGTTCCTTTGGTTCCTTTGGTTCCTCTGGTTCCTTTGGTTCCTCTGGTTCCTTTGGTTCCTTTGGTTCCTCTGGTTCCTCTGGTTCCTCTAGTTCCTCTGGTTCCTTTGTGCTGGTGAAGGTTCCCAGTCATCCAGGTCATAGTCATTCCGTAAAAGTTTAAAAACAATCCACCGGACTTGGTTTCAAAGGTTTGAAGACGTTTCGCTTCCCCTCCAGGAAGTTTTCTAAATGCAAATTAATTCTTCAATATCAGTTCTTCTGGTTCTTTAAATTTAACGGCAGCTTTAGGTCCCATAAGGTAGCAGAAATGAAGACCTGCTGTTCTCTGTGTCCTCAGTCTGCAGACACCACCGCTCTGAGCCACACCGTCACCGGACTCAAACCCAACACCATGTATGAGTTTGCCGTCATGGTAACCAAAGGTCGGAGGTCCAGCACCTGGAGTATGACCGCACACGCCACCACATATGAAGCAGGTAGGTCTCAGACCGACCTTCCAGCTGCTTCCAGAAACTGCTGGGAGGGTTTGAGCTCAGATGGTTCTGAACTTCTTCCTCCTTCTGCTGCTGCCATGATTCACTGTCTTCTTCTACTGTCACAACTTACTGCAGCTGAGGAAGCTGACCTGTGACCTTTCTGGGGAACCAGCTCACCCTGACCCTAACCCTGACCCTAACTCTGACCCTGACCCTGCACCTAACTCTGACCCTGACCCTGCACCTAACCCTGACCCTGCACCTAACCCTGACCCTGACCCTAACTCTGACCCTGACCCTGCACCTGACCCTGCACCTAACCCTGACCCTGCACCTGACCCTGCACCTAACCCTAACCCTGACCCTGCACCTAACCCTGACCCTGACCCTAACTCTGACCCTGACCCTAACCCTAACTCTGACCCTGACCCTGCACCTGACCCTGCACCTAACCCTGACCCTGACCCTGCACCTGACCCTGAACCTAACCCTGACCCTGCACCTAACCCTGACCCTGACCCTGCACCTGACCCTGCACCTAACCCTGACCCTGCACCTGACCCTGCACCTAACCCTGACCCTGACCCTGCACCTGACCCTGCACCTAACCCTGACCCTAACTCTGACCCTGACCCTGCACCTAACCCTGACCCTGACCCTAACTCTGACCCTAACCCTAACTCTGACCCTGCACCTGACCCTGCACCTAACCCTGACCCTAACTCTGACCCTGACCCTAACCCTGACCCTACATCTAACCCTACACCTAACCCTGACCCTGACCCTAACTCTGACCCTGACCCTAACCCTGACCCTACATCTAACCCTACACCTAACCCTGACCCTGACCCTAACTCTGACCCTGACCCTAACCCTAACTCTGACCCTGACCCTGCACCTGACCCTGCACCTAACCCTGACCCTGACCCTGCACCTGACCCTGAACCTAACCCTGACCCTGCACCTAACCCTGACCCTGACCCTGCACCTGACCCTGCACCTAACCCTGACCCTGCACCTGACCCTGCACCTAACCCTGACCCTGACCCTGCACCTGACCCTGCACCTAACCCTGACCCTAACTCTGACCCTGACCCTGCACCTAACCCTGACCCTGACCCTAACTCTGACCCTAACCCTAACTCTGACCCTGCACCTGACCCTGCACCTAACCCTGACCCTAACTCTGACCCTGACCCTAACCCTGACCCTACATCTAACCCTACACCTAACCCTGACCCTAACCTTGACCCTGACCCTAAAACTAACCATTTGCAAAATAGCTTGTGAGGACCAGTAAAATGTCCTCACTTTGCAAAAACTGGTCCTCAATGGTCCCCACTCTGATGTCTAGACAGGTACAACCCTGCAGGAATTGTGCAAACAAAAATGGCGGCACCCATAACATTCAGGAGCTCATGTTTGTTTATATTAGTGATATTTCGTTGTTTGTGGAATGTTGGGCGAAGACGACATCTTTCTCGGTCTGTGCTTCATCGCAGGTCGCTCTGATGCCATTTATTGTTAATAAGCAGAAGTTCATGTTGTGAACAGGTGCAGAGATCTGTGTTATAAAGCTGGACTGAGTCAGCTGACTGTAGATCGGCGATGAGGCGCTCTGCTCAGAGAACCGAGTCCGAGTCACAGCTGAACGGCGCTGAGTCCTACTGATGGACTAAAACTAGAAATAAAAAGAGCAGAAGCAGCAAAGTTTCACTAACTGAAGGAGAAACTCTGCTTTTTCTGGTTGAAAGTTGCGACACGCAGCAGCTTTCAGGGAAACAGCTGCAACAACAACTTCAGCAATTATTTTTAACGAGGCTTTAACTCTGGTTTAGTAAAGAGACGTCATAAAAGCGCCTCGCTCTCCGCGGCAACAACACGGCCGCTGGACTCAAAATGTCACACTCCCACCTTTCAGGATGTAAACAATCATGTTTGCCGGATTTGTCACCCAATTAGGCGCGAGCGGCGTTACGGCGGCGGCTCCCCGAGGCCCGCTGGAATACATTGACATTCAGAGCGGGAACGGGCCGAGTTCGCTCGCTGCTGCGCTGATCAACTTAAACACAACAGAACAGCAGCTTCACCGCGGCGTCGTTATCAGGAAACAGGCGGACGACAAAAGACACCTGAGAGGCAGCGTTTGAGATAAGAGGCTGAGGAAATGGCGTCCTCAGGAAGACGCCTCAGATCTTCCGGGCCTCAGAGGACGAGGCTTCACAAAGACTTGATGTCAGCAGAGATGATAAAAAGCAGCTTTTGTTTTCAGATAGAATCAGATCCAGATTAAACTCGCCGATGGGAGGAGTCATCCACCTGAACCGTCTGACGGACAAACAGAACCTCTAATGCTCGCTGGGTCCAAACGGACCCACAGCTGCGTCACTGTGGAAAACATCTCTGACTTTTACGGTTTGATTCTGAGGAGAACATTTTATATAAACATTTCCATCAAGAGTTTTTCACTTACTTCACCAAAATGCCCAGTTTTTAGTTGATCTATTCAGCTGATCTAGATCTAGTGTGGTTCTGTTTGTTCCAGCTCTAACTGCTGAGATGACCTCAGATGAAGGCTGAAATAAAGCGGCGCTGCAGATGTAGGTGCAGTACCCACAAAAACCACAGAGGGGCAGTAATGAACATAAGAGGCAGAAAGGCAGAAAAAAGAGAAGAATCAGCAGATGTCCAATGATTGTCACTACTTGATCCGTTCCGGAAGCACGATCCGTCCCGGAGGCATGATCCGTCCCGGAAGCACGATCCATCCTGGAAGCTCGATCCGTCCCGGAAGCACGATCCATCCTGGAAGCACGATCCGTCCCGGAAGCATGATCCATCCTGGAAGCTCGATCCGTCCCGGAAGCACGATCCATCCTGGAAGCACGATCCGTCCCGGAAGCATGATCCATCCTGGAAGCTCGATCCGTCCCGGAAGCACGATCCATCCTGGAAGCACGATCCATTCCGGAAGCACGATCCGTCCCGGAAGCACGATCCGTCCTGGAAGCACGATCCATCCTGGAAGCACGATCCATCCTGGAAGCACGATCCATCCTGGAAGCACGATCCGTCCTGGAAGCACGATCCGTCCCTGTAGCACGATCCGTCCTGGAAGCACGATCCATCCTGGAAGCACGATCCGTCCTGGAAGCACGAACCCTCCCGGAAGCACGATCCGTTCCGGAAGCACGAACCCTCCCGGAAGCACGATCCGTCCTGGAAGCACGATCCGTCCCTGTAGCACGATCCGTCCTGGAAGCACGATCCATCCTGGAAGCACGATCCGTCCTGGAAGCACGAACCCTCCCGGAAGCACGATCCGTCCTGGAAGCACGATCCGTCCCTGTAGCACGATCCGTCCTGGAAGCACGATCCATCCTGGAAGCACGAACCCTCCCGGAAGCACGATCCGTCCTGGAAGCACGATCCGTCCCTGTAGCACGATCCATCCTGGAAGCACGATCCGTCCTGGAAGCACGAACCCTCCCGGAAGCACGATCCATCCTGGAAGCACGATCCGTCCTGGAAGCACGAACCCTCCCGGAAGCACGATCCGTCCCGGAAGCACGATCCGTCCCTGTGGCACGATCCGTCCTGCGCCATCAGATATACATCCGCAATTCCATAAATAATGTTATTATTGTTCTTAAATGACTTATTTCTATCCTTAAGTCACTAAATAATGCTAATACACATCTTTATAAAAATATTATGACTTTTTCTGAGACAATTTTGATGTTTTTTCCATTTTCTCCGTTAAACAGCTTCTCTGATGTCATCATGGGACACGATCAGAGCAGTAAATCTGATTAAACCATGTTTATCTGCATTCTAGTTGTTTCTTTATTTAGATTATGCGCTATATAGCATAATGTTAACATGAAAGGAAAACATAAAACTCAGAAAGACGAGATTTATGTTTAAATCTACAGCGTAGCGTAGCATCCCATTTCCTGTGCAGATCAGGAGCAGAAAACTGATAAAACTGATTTAAATGTATTTATTTTCTCAGGAAATACATTTTTAACATTTGACACATTATAATTTAGTACGTTTACTGTTTTTGGAGAGGAAAAAACGTCATTTAGGTCTTTTTAACAAAAGCTGATGGCGTATGAGCAGGACGGATCTCTATTCAATGAAATGCTGATAGGCTGTTGGTAGTACAGGGCGGAGTAAAGAAACCAGTCGCCAATATATCTATATGTTTACATATCTATATATATATCTATATATATCTATATATATATATCTATATATATATATATATATATAGATATATATATATATATATATATCTATATATATATATATATATATCTATATATATATAGATATATAGATATATATATATCTATATATATATATATATATATATATATATATATAGATATATATATATATATATATATATATATATATATATATATATATATATATATATATATATAGATATATATATATATCTATATATATATCTATATATATATATAGATATATATATATAGATATATATATATCTATATATATATATCTATATATATATCTATATATATATATATATATATATATATATATATATATATATATATATATAGCCTGTAAAACGTTTTCCAACAGCAGAAAACTGCTTGTTGTTACAGCCACATGCTGCTCATGTCGGCATGTTTATGGAGCGACTCAGTGAGTTTAGGGAGTACCAAGATGGCAGCAAGTGACTTCAGGTTTTCTGCCAGTCGGATATCCAGTGAATAAATAAATATCAGCGTTAATGTCCCACTTCCTAAATGGCAGAGAGCAGTATTGATTATTAGAAACTGAGGATTATTGGAGAATAATTGGTGTTTTATAACGGCTGGTTTACCTGCTGCACACAGAGACGATGGGGAGACCAGGTCCCAGGCTGTCGCCACTAATCCCAAAATGCTTTAACTTCCTCATCTTCATCAGCAGCTTAAAGATGAAGCCAAACCATCGGAGCCTCTGAGTTCCTGGAAAGCCAGGAAGCTTTCGGTGCGGTGGTCGTGTCATCGAGGCCGATCTGCGGCTGGTAAAGCGTTACGAGCCGACTGCTGATGCGTGATCAGCCTCTTTATTATCACTTCCTGCTTTAGGAGGATCTGTCAGCTCAGCTCTCATTACTCCCCGTCTTAATTGATTCTGATCCGAGTCCTCTTCATGTCTGGATATCAGGTTCCCGCTGTATTTAGGACTCTACGGCTGTCAGCATCAATCATGTACGCAGCTGGAACCTGTAATTTCCTGCAGCACGCCGTGTCAGATGTAACAAGCGGTTTCATTAGACATGGCTGCTCCAGGTTAGTCCTGCTGGGAAACTACAAATAGCACCAAGCTTTTTGTCACTGAAGCAAATTCACAGGGAAGGCAGTTAGAAGAGCTCCCATAGACGGTGGTCTGGTTGCCATGGTGGCGAGGAGGTCAGGAGGAGGTGGAGGGGGGGTGCTTGACATTTTCACTGCAGGAGCAGCGCGACTGAAAGCTTCACAATCATTAAAACGCTGCAGATTATTGGGATAAAGAAGTGGCTGAAGGACACCGCCCGCCTAAAATGGACCTCCCAGCAGGACCTGCTTCAGAACCGCTCCAATTAAAGTTCTGCTCTTTGCTGCTTTTACATCAGCGGCGCTTCACATTGACCCAAACAGCTGCCTGGTTAGGATTTAATGTTTGCATCAGAGTGGCTTTATAAAGAGACTCTTCACTGCATTTCAGTCTGATCCCAGTTATACTGGTGGTGGACCAGTTCTCTGGGCCAGACTGGGTCATGTGATCTTTCCATTAACGAAGAGGCCATTGTGATGTGTTTCCATCTGCTTTAGCATTTAGTCTGTAAAACAGACTTCATCCTTTCCTGCCCTGCAGCAAAACTTCCACACTTAACAAGATGAACAGATGCTGGAAATCTGCTGAAAAGCTGCTTAAAATCTGCTGGAAAAGTGCTGGAAAACTGCTGGAAAGCTGCTGAAAAGCAGCTGGAAAGCAGCTGGAAAGCTGCTGAAAAGCTGCTTAAAATCTGCTGGAAAAGTGCTGGAAAACTGCTGGAAAGCTGCTGGAAAAGTGCTGGAAAGCTGCTGAAAAGCTGCTGGAAAGCTGCTGGAAAACTGCTGGAAAGCTGCTGGAAAGCTGCTGGAAAACTGCTGGAAAAGTGCTAGAAAGCAGGTGAAAAGCTGCTGGAAAGCTTCTGGAAAACTGCTGGAAAGCTGCTGGAAAGCTGCTGGAAAGCAGCTAGAAAGCAGCTGGAAAGCTGCTGAAAAGCTGCTTAAAATCTGCTGGAAAAGTGCTGGAAAACTGCTGGAAAGCTGCTGAAAAGCAACTAGAAAGCAGCTGGAAAGCTGCTGAAAAGCTGCTTAAAATCTGCTGGAAAAGTGCTGGAAAGCTGCTGGAAAGCTGCTGAAAAGCAGCTAGAAAGCTGCTGGAAAGCAGCTGGAAAGCTTCTGGAAAGCAGCTGGAAAGCTGCTGGAAAGCTGCTGAAAAGCAGCTAGAAAGCAGCTGGAAAGCTGCTGGAAAGCTGCTGAAAAGCAGCTAGAAAGCAGCTGGAAAGCTTCTGGAAAGCTGCTGAAAAGCAGCTAGAAAGCAGCTGGAAAGCTGCTGGAAAGCTGCTGAAAAGCAGCTAGAAAGCAGCTGGAAAGCTGCTGGAAAGCTGATGACTCTGAGTAACAGACTGTTTTGCTGTACCAGCTATAATTCGATCATCTGCAGCGTTTTAATTCCTCCTTGTTTGGTCAGAAATGTTGAAGGTTTGCTGCACTTTCCTGGAAGTTTTTTCCGTGTAATTCCTTCGCTTTCAGAGGCTCCTGACTCCAAACCTGAGCGCCGTTATTTACTTTGCTGATTGACAGGATGTTTGTTTGGGTGAAAAGCTGAGCTGTATCTAGAATGAACCGTCTACCTGCAGACGTGCAGAGTTCCTCCATCAACACCTCTGCTTCTTCCACAGATCATTGATGGATTCACAGGGTTTTGGGAATCAATATTAAATTATTAACAACCTTTATTGTATTTGATGGATTGATGTTTTTACCCGACCTAAAAACAACCCAGACTGAACCAATAAAGTAAAAAATAAAGTTTAATGACCAAAGTCATTAGTCGGGTGACTTCCAGGTTTTTTTTCTGTGTTGTTTTGTTACCAAATAGATAAACACAAAATAGATCAAATCAAAAGCAAATTAAATATTATAAATATTTCCAAAAGTGACTCTGATATTAATAATATTAACTAAAACTCTTCATATATTTAATATCAGCTTCCTTCTGTTAGCTAGCTTAGCTTAATACCATGTGACTCCCAGACACTGGTTGCTATGGTGATTCCCTCCTTTCCTGTCAAAGGAGGGAATCCTCTGGGGCGTTGAAATGAAGGCACAGCCAGTGGTTGCTATGGCGACTCCTTCCTTCACCATGCAGAAGGAGTTCCTCCCGGAGTCGACCTGTAGGAACCATCAAACTGGAACAAAAAAATTCCTGAGATTCTGTTCTACTATCAGTAATTATATGACAGAAAAAAAATATAAACGTATAAAAGAAAAACCGTGGCGTAGCATGTGGGCCACCATGATGCGGCACGGTGACATCACAGGGTTGGATGGTTCTGTAGCTTCCAGGTGAACAACCCGCCATGCAGAGCGTGGTGCAGATCAGCCTCCATCACTGTGGCCAACCTGTCCGCCATGAGCGGACAGGTTGGCCACAGCAGCCTAGAACCATCCAACCCTGTGATGTCACCGCTTAGAGTACGCCATCATGGTGGCGCCCTGCCAAAATATGATACCCCGCCTGGGTCAGCAAACGGCATTCTTAGAAACCTTAATCTTTAACTCGGGTTTAAAGATCTCAGACACTCGGGATTAACTTCTCCTTCCTTTAGCTTCCTGCTGTTTCCAGCTGGTTGCAGCCAGGTTTCTGTTAGCCAGCAGTCTTTGCACGCCAGGGTCAAAGTTCAGCTGTGATGACAGTGAACAGCTGCTGTTACACACATGGCCCTGCGTGATTCACATTAGAAAGAAATGATGCAGGTCTTCCTCTGCCCTGTTTTACTGACCTTTCTTCATGTCTGATTGGCAGCTCCAGGCTCCGCCCCCAAAGACCTGACCGTCATCAGTCGGGAAGGACGTCCCCGTGCTGTTCTCATCAGCTGGCAGCCGCCGCTGGAAGCTAACGGACGGATCACAGGTGCGCAGCCTCCTCTTCCTGGAAGCACAGCTGATGATCACATCCTCCATCTTTTTCCTCTCATTGTTGCTAAATAAGGAGGAAAACAACCAGCCTGGTTTCTGGCTCTCCAAACACGCATAAAGGAGTTTCCTCCATTGTTCCTGTTCTCTTCCTGAGGGAGAAGAAAGTGTTTGTTTTTTTGTTGCTGATCGCCCACTTTTAATTAAAGCTGCTAATGCGAAGGCCTGTTTGTCTCCCAGGATACATCCTGTTCTACACGCTGGACAAGAACTCGCTGATAGACGACTGGGTGATGGAGGCCATCAGCGGCGACCGGCTCACCCACCAGGTGGCGGATCTGAACCTGGACACCGTTTATTACTTCAGGATTCAGGCCAAAAACGCCAAAGGGGTGGGGCCTCTGTCTGAGCCGGTGCAGTTCAGGACGGCTAAAGGTAGATGAGGCTACGGCTGCAGCGCCGCCTGCGCAGATCTTATTCTGGTTCTCATTTCCTGTCCTTCTGCTGCCTTTTCAGTGGAGCTTCCAGACAAGATGGCCAACGATCAAGGTGAGGTTCCTTCCTCCCTCAGACGCTTCGTTAACATAATGATGAATTTAAATCAGATTCTGAGACCTTCATGTTTAATGGAAGACAGAGTTTCTAATCATCCTCAATCAGTTCCTCCGTTTCCTTTATCGTTTTTATTCATTAGATGGAAACAGAGCAATTCAAACTTTAATAAATTTACACAAAAGTTTTTCTGTTTGGCCTTTTTTTAAAGAGAGCAAATGTTTCACATCACTAATCAGCTGAATACTAGCGTTAGCATCTTACCTCTGGCTCTATGGCCGATTCTCTGTCTGTGTACTTGTGTGTCCTCGTGAAACATCATCCTCCTCAGCCCTAGCACTGTTCCAGTTCACTAGAACAGCAGACTGAGAACGGACAAAGTCCCCGGGTGTTGTTCTGGCCCCTCCCTCTTTACCCAGCATGCACTGTGGCAGCAGCAGCTTCCAGGAGTATTAAGTTAAAAGTTCTCTTTTCCGTTACTGTTGTTCATTAAAAATACGTTTTAAGATAATTTGAGTCGAGAATATACTTCTGAATTCATCCGTTAACATCTGGATGTTTGGCTCTAAATTACCCGTTAAATTGGATGTTTAGCTCTTTTTTTCCCCTTTAACATCTGGATGTTTAGTTTCTGAATTCCCTTTAACATCTGGATGTTTGGCTTGAATTCCCCCCCCCCCCCGGTTAAAAATTGGAGTTTAGCTCCCGGGGGGGGGGGGGGGGGGCCCCCCCCCCCCCCCCCCCCCCCCCCCCCCCAACCCCCCCGTTAATTTGGAAAGGTTTAGCTCTAAATTCCCCCCGTTAAAAATCTGGATGTTTGGTCGGGAATTCACCCGGTTTAAACATCTGGATGTTTGGCCCCTGAATTAATTTCCGTTAACATCTGGATTTTTTGGGCTTCTAAAATTCATCCGTTTTTCATCGGGAATTTTTGTCTGAATTCCCCCTTTTTTAAACATCTGGGATTTTTGGGCTCTGAATTCATCCCTTTTTATCTTTCGGGAAATGTTTAGCTCTAAATTTTCACCCGTTTAACATCTGGATGTTTGGCCCCGAATTAAATCCTTTAAAACATCTGGATTTTTGGGGCCTCTGAATTCCTTTCCGTTATTTTGGGGTTTGTTTAGCTCTAAAATTCCCCCCCTTTAAACTTCTGGATGTTTTGGCCCTCCGAATTCACCCGTTAAACATCTGGATGTTTAGCTTAAATTTTCACCCGTTAACTTCTGGATGTTTGGCTCGAATTCATCGTTAACATCGGATGTTTGGTCTAAAATTCACCGTTAACTTTTGGGTTTTTTGGCTCTGATGGAGAGGGGGATAAAGGGGGAATGATAGAAAGCACAGGTGGGGGTGGGAAGAAAAAAGGCCAAGAACGGTTTTGGTTGGGGGGGGGAAAAATCATTAATATTTACAGCAGTTGTTGATCCTGGCCCCCATCAGGTTTCTTTGAAGGATTTAAGATTAAAATTTTGATTTTTGATTTTTTCCTTCTCTAACATTCCAACCTCATCAATTCCGGGCCTTGATTTTTTTCCCCTTGGGGTTTTTCCCTGCTCCTTTCATTTTTGGGGGCTCAGCTTAAAGTCAGCAGATCCTCCATCAAAATAAAGATTAAAATTTTTTCCTTCTTCCTTTTTTAAAAAAAAAAGTCATTTCATGAAGGGACCCCTTTGTGGCGCAGGAAGGGGTTACCCTTTCCCATTGGCATCATTATTATGCAGGTTTAATTTCTCAGGAAGGCGCCTCAGTGACGCACAGGTGGACTGCAGTAGGTTGACCGCCATCGTTCCCTGAAGCTAAGAACGATTGGTGAATCTGATGTGGAGCCGATGGTTGGAGGAAAAGACGGATTTAGAAAAACAATCAATGTTGCATCATGAGGCCCAAAAATTTAACCCACGCTTTATAACTTTTTAAATTTCAACATTATTTTTTTATTTTTGTATTTTTTTTTTTCTTGTGTTTAAAAGTCATGTTGAGTTTTTTGGCCCCAAACCGGGTTGCGGGAAAAACTAACCAGCAGCGAGGCGGTCCTGTTCCCATCAGAACCAGAATCATCTGGGTCTTAATCAGAGCCAAAGTTTTTTTTTAAAACAAAGGGCTCCTTCCTGATCTACATCAGAGTTGGTAAACGCATCATTGGGGCATCAGAGAGCTTAAACTCCAGCTGTGTGTGTGGGGGTGGGGGGGTAATTAGCGAGTGATTAATATGTGATTAAATTCAGTTTTGTTGGTAAAAACACTTCATTTAATGTGTTTTCATTGCATTTTAAACCCGTTTTTTTCCCCAGAAAAGAAAAAAACTCCAGTAAAGGGGACCTTTGGGGTCAGAAAGAAGCAGCGTTTAAGGCGGGGACCCATTTTTTCCTTTTTTTATACGGTTCCCCATTTTTGGGTTGGGGAAAAGCGTGGACTGAAGGAGGCTCTTTGGTGTCCTCCAACCTGATTAAACTCCATCCGTCCAAACAGCCGTGTTTCTGGGAGATGAAGCGAAAAACTGCGTCTAATTAAGCTGCACAATCATTAGTGATTTTAGAGAAACAAACGGAGAGCAGAGAAGAAGCGCTGATGGCAGCGAGCTTTATTCTGGAGCATATTGAACTTTATCTGCTGCAGTCAGATGCAATTAAGTTTCTCTTCGCTGGTTGATTCATCGGCAGACAGCCTGGTGGTGATGATGATGATGATGATGCAGCTCAGACATCAGCTGGACTGTAATGGGAGCCTGCTCTGGACCAGAACCAGAGGCAGCGTCTGTCGCTTTGATCAGATCAGCTCCTCCATCACTCAGTTTGGGGGCTTTTCCATGGGGGGCCGTGATCCAGGCTCCCCCCCTGAGGCCTTAGAGGGTTTGGATGGGTTTCCCCCCCATTCAGCTCAGGGGCCCCGAGTCTTTTGCCTTGTTTCCACCCTAAAAAAAAAAGGGGGTTTCTGAGCAGAAGAGGAGCAAAGCTCGGATGAGACCTTAGAAGATAAACGTTTGAAATGAGCAAAATGGCCGATTAAAAAACAGCAGATAAGAGCTCTGAGTTCTGAATGTCGGGAGGAGAAAGAAAAAACCTTAAAAAAACCCCAAAAAACGCCCCCCCCCCTTCCAAGGTTTGTTCTTCTCCTTTTGTTCAGAAGGGTTCGGGATTCCGGGAAAATTTTTCCCTGGGGCCCGTGAGTTAAAAAAAGAAAAATGAACTTTTGCATAAATTCTAAGGCTGGTCGTTTTGAAAAATTTAAAAATTTTAAAAATTTCAACCCTCGGGGGACTTTTTTTCCCAAATTTTGGGAAGCCCGTTTCTTTTCCCCACCCGGGAAAGGTTTTTTCTATTCCAAATGTCAGAAATAGCGTTTATTTCCCAAAGGTTTTATCCCCCCAGCCCAAAAAAAAGCCTGGTTTTAGTTTAAAAACATGCAGTTAGAAAGGGGGAATTGGGGAATAAACGGGTCCCCCCCTTGGGGGAAAAGGGGGGTTCTTTTGGGCTTCTTTGTTGGCCTGAAATGCCTGATACTGGTCTATGGCTCTGAAAGGGGGGTTATTAAGGTCATTGTTGGTCTGTCTGACCAGGTGAGATGTTTTGGTCCCCCAGCATGGCGATGAGGATTATGATAGCGGGAAGGAATCAACTCTATCCTGAGTTGTAGGTTTTTGACTCCACACCCCCCCCCTTTTTTAAAAGGGTTTGGGCAGCCAAAAAAAACTACAACAAAGGGCCCCAACTACTCCCCTTTCAGAGGCTTTGGCCCGTTTTAAGGGGATTGCAGGGCAACAAAGACCTCAACGACTTGCTGTTTTTCTAAAAAAATAAACCCGGCTTTGTTGGGGGTGCGGGGTAAAACCCGGGGAACTAAAGTATTTCTGACATTTGGATTGGGAAAAAACTTCCTGGGTGGGAAAAAGAAACCCTCTTCCCAAAATCCGGGGGTGGAGGTTCTATAGGCTGGTGGAGGTTCTATAGGATGGTGGAGGGGTTTACGGGGTGGTGGTTTGGGTTTTACAGGCTGGTGGAGGGGTTTTAAAGGCTGGTGGGGTTTCGGGATGGTGGTGGTTTATAGGAAAGGGGAGGTTCTATAGGGGTTTGGGGGAGGTTCTGTAGGTGGTTTGGGGGTTTACAGGCGGGGGGAGGTTTTTAAGGGATGGTGGTGGTTCTATAGGATGGTGGAGGTTCTATAGGCTGGTGGAGGTTCTGTAGGCTGGTGGAGGTTCTACAGGCTGGTGGAGGTTCTACGGGATGGTGGTGGTTCTATAGGATGGTGGAGGTTCTATAGGCTGGTGGAGGTTCTGTAGGCTGGTGGAGGTTCTACAGGCTGGTGGAGGTTTAGGGTGGTGGGGTTCTACAGGTGGTGGAGGTTTTTATAGGCTGGGGGAGGTTCTACCGGATGGTGGAGGGTTTTCAGGCTGGGGGGGAGGGTTTTGTAGGTGGTGGAGGTTTTTACAGGCTGGTGGAGGGGTTTTATAGGCTGGGTGGGGTTCTTTCAGGATGGGGGGGTTCTAAGGTGGTGGAGGTTCTGTAGGCTGGTTGGGGGTTTTTTTTTTAAAACCCCCGGCTGGTGGAGGTTCTATAAGATGGTGGAGGTTAAGTAGGCTGGTGGAGGTTAAGTAGGCTGGTGGAGGTTTTTAAGGTGGGGGGGGTTTTGTAGGCTGGTGGAGGGTTTTTAAGGGGTGGGGGGTTCTATAAGATGGGGGGGAGGTTTTAAATAGGCTGGTGGAGGTTTACAGGGGTGGGGGAGGTTTTACAGGCTGGGGAGGGTTCTACGGGTGGTGGGGGTTTTTTCAGGCTGGTGGGGTTCTATAGGGGTGGGGGGGATTTTAAAAAGGGGGGGGGGGGGCCCACAGGTTTGGGGGGAGGTTCTGTAGGGGGTGGAGGTTTTAAAGGGTGGTGGAGGTTCTTTAAAGGGTGGTGGAGGGTTTACAGGATGGTGGAGGTTCCCAAAAGGTGGGGAGGTTTTTTGGGGGTGGTGGGGGTTTTTTGGTGGTGGGGGGTTTATAAGATTTGGGGGAAAGGGTTAAAATAGGCTGGTGGGGTTAAAATAAAGGGTGGTGGAGGTTCTTCAGGCTGGGGGAGGTTCTGTTTGGGTGGGGGAGGTTTTTCAGGTGGTGGAGGTTCTTAAGATGGTGGGGTTAAGTTGGTTTGGGGGAGGTTTAAGGTTGGGGGGGTTTTTACAGGCTAGGGGAGGGTTTTACGGGCTGGGGGAGGTTTTACAGGCTGGGGGGAGGTTCCCCGGTGGGGGAGGGGGCTATGGGCTGGTGGAGGTTCTACAGGATGGTGGAGGTTCTATAGGCTGGTGGAGGTTCTACGGCTGGGGGGGGGGTTCTGTAGGGTGGTTGGGGGGGTTTGGGAGGCTGGTGGAAAGGGTTTTACGGTGGTGGAGGTTCTATAGGCTGGTGGAGGTTCTATAGGCTGGTGGAGGTTCTACGGGCTGGTGGAGGTTCTATAGGATGGTGGAGGTTCTACAGGCTGGTGGAGGTTCTATAGGAGTGTGGAGGTTCTGTAGGCTGGTGGAGGTTCTACAGGCTGGTGGAGGTTCTGTAGGCTGGTGGAGGTTCTACAGGCTGGTGGAGGTTCTACAGGCTGGTGGAGGTTCTAAAAGGCTGGTGGGAGGTTTTAAGGGGTGGTGGGGTTCTAGGGCTGGTGGAGGTTTAAAAGGATGGTGGGGGTTCTAAAGGCTGGGTGGAGGTTCTTTAGGAGTGTGGGGTTCTGTGGCTGGTGGGGGGGTTTTTGGTTTTTGGAGGGGTTTTATAGGTGGTGGGGTTCTGTAGGCTGGTGGGAGGTTTAGGGCTGGTGGGGGTTTTATAGGTGGCGGGGGTTCTACAGGCTGGTGGAGGTTTAACGGCTGGGGGGAGGTTCATAGGCGGGGGGGGTTCTACAGGATGGTGGAGGGGTTTATAGGGGTGGTGGGGTTTTTGTAGGCTGGTTTGGGGGTTCTAGGGCTGGTGGGGGTTTTTCAGGTGGTGGAGGTTTTTACAGGTGGTGGGGGTTTTTAGGGTGGTGGTGGTTCTATAGGGTGGTGGAGGTTCTATGGCTTTGGGGGAGGTTCTGTGGTTTTGGTTTGGGGGTTTATGGAGGTGGAGGGGTTTTACAGGGGTGGTGGGGTTCTATGGATGGTGGAGGTTCTATAGGCTGGTGGAGGTTCTTTAGGCTGGTGGAGGTTCTATAGGCTGGTGGAGGTTTATAGGGCTGGTGGAGGGGTTTTATTTGGCTTTGGGGGAGGGGTTTTGTTAGGTGGTGGGGGGTTTGTAGGCTTTGGGGGAGGTTTATAGGCTGGTGGAGGTTCTGTAGGGGTGGTGGAAAGGTTTTTTTAGGGGTTTGGGGGAAAGGTTTATGGATGGTGGAGGTTCTTTTGGCTGGTGGGGGGTTTTTTGGTGGTTTGGGGGTTCTTAGTCTTTGGGGGAGGTTCTATAGTTTTTGGGGGAGGTTTGTAGGTGGTGGAGGTTTTTTTTAGTCTGGGGGAGGTTTTTACCGGCTTGGGGAGGTTTTTATAGGATTTGGGGAGGGGTTTACAGGCTTGGGGGGGTTCTATAGGATGGGGAGGTTCTACCGGATGGTGGAGGGTTTTACAGGCTGGTGGAGGTTTTATAGGTGGGGGAGGGGTTTTAGGGGGTGGAGGTTTTTATAGGCTGGGTTTGGGGGTTTTAGGGTGGTGGAGGTTCTATGGTGGTGGAGGTTCTATAGGCTGGTGGAGGTTTTACAGGCTGGTGGAGGTTTATAGGGTTTTGGAGGTTTTTAGGCTGGTGGGGTTTTATTGGCTGGTGGAGGTTCTGTAGGCTGGTGGAGGTTCTATTTGGAAAGGGGGGGGTTTTGTAGGAAAGGTGGAGGGGTTTTATAGGGTGGTGGAGGGTTTTGTTTGGCTTGGGGGGGTTCTATGGGATGGTGGAGGTTCTGTGGATGGTGGAGGTTTTTATAGGTGGTGGAGGGTTTTTACAGGGTTGTAGAGGTTTTTTAAAAGGAAATTTTTGGAGGGTTCAACAGGATTTTTTTTTTTGGAGGGGTTTTTAAGGATTGTGGAGGGTTTACCGGTGGGGGGAGGTTTCCGGATTTGGGGAGAGGTTCTTAGGTGGTTTGGGGGTTCTAAAGGATTTGGGGGAGGTTTTACAGGATGGTGGAGGTTCTAAAAGGATTGTGGGGTTCTACAGGGGTGGGGGAGGTTTTTTAGGCTGGTGGAGGTTCTTAGGGTTGTGGAGGTTCAAAAGGGGTTTTGGAGGGGTTTTACAGGTGGTGGAGGTTTACGGATGGGGGAGGTTCTACAGGATTGTGGGGGGTTTTAAAAAAATGGGGAGGGTTTACGGGTTGTGAGGTTTACAGGATGGTGGAGGTTCTACGGATGGTGGAAGGGTTTTTACAGGATTGTGGAGGTTCCCACAGGATTGTGGAAGGGGTTTTATGGATGGTGGGGTTTTTACTGGGGGTGGTGGAGGTTTTTACGGGTGGGGGGGTTTACAGGTTTGGGGGTGGTTTTTAAAAGGTGGTGGAGGGTTTTACAGGCTGGTGGAGGGTTTACCGGATTTGGGGGGAGGTTCACGGATGGTGGGGGTTCTAAGGTGGTGGAGGTTTACGGATTGTGAGGTTCTTAGGGGTGGTGGAGGTTCTACAGGATGGTGGAGGTTCTACAGGATGGTGGAGGTTCTACAGGATTGTGGAGGTTCTACAGGATGGTGGAGGTTCTACAGGATTGTAGAGGTTCTATAGGATTGTGGAGGTTCTACAGGATTGTGGAGGTTCTACAGGCTGGTGGAGGTTCTACAGGATGGTGGAGGTTCTACAGGATTGTGGAGGTTCTACAGGATGGTGGGGGGGTTTTTACAGGTTTTTAGAGGTTTTTCCGGTGGGGGGAGGGGTTTACAGGATGGTGGGGGTTTACAGGATTGTGGAGGTTCTAAGGATTTGTGGAGGGTTTTATAGGATGGTGGAAAGGGTTTTTCTGGGGTGGGGGGAGGTTTAAAAGGCTGGTGGAGGTTCTAAACAGGCTGGTGGAGGTTCTACAGGCTGGTGGAGGTTCTACAGGCTGGTGGAGGTTCTACAGGATTGTGGAGGTTCTATAGGATGGTGGAGGTTCTACAGGCTGGTGGAGGTTCTACAGGATGGTGGAGGTTCTACAGGATGGTGGAGGTTCTACAGGCTGGTGGAGGTTCTACAGGTGGTTTGGGGGTTCTAAAAGGTGGTGGTGGTTTTTCCCGGTGGTGGAGGTTCTACAGGTGGTGGAGGGTTTACAGGATTGTGGAGGGGTTTTATGGATGGTGGGGTTCTACGGATTGTGGTGTTTTACCCGGATGGTGGAGGTTTTTACAGGTTTGGGGGAGGTTCCCACAGGATGGTGGGGGTTTACAGGGGTGGGGGAGGTTCTACAGGATTGTAGAGGTTTTTTTGGTGGTGGAGGTTTTCAGGATGGTGGGGTTTTACAGGAAAGGGGGAGGGTTTTACAGGATTGTGGAGGTTTTAAAAGGGAGGCGGAGGTTAAAAGGATTGTAGAGGTTCTATAGGATTGTGGAGGTTTAAAAAGGGTTGTGGAGGTTTCCGGGTGGTGGAAAGGGGTTTTACAGGATGGTGGAGGTTTTACAGGATTGTGGGGGGGTTTTATGGATGGTGGAGGTTTCCCGTTGTGGGGTTCTACCGGAAATTTTGGAGGTTCTAAAGGGTTGTGGAGGTTCTATAGGATGGTGGGAGGTTTTACGGTGGTGGAGGTTTTACAGGCTGGTGGAAGGGTTTTAAGGGGTGGGGGAGGTTCCAGGTGGGGAGGGTTTACAGGATTGTGGGGGTTTCCCGGATTTTTGGATGTTCCAAAAGGAAATTATTCTAAACCTGGGGGGGGGTTTACCCCCCTTTTTGGGGGTTTACCCAAGGGAAAATTTTTTTCTTTTCCCGGGTGGAAAAATTCTAAGGGTGGTATTAATCAATTTATTCTTTTTAATTTTAGGGTTTAACACTGGTGGGATTTTACAGAATTGGTGGGGTTCCCCCTTTTGGGGGATCCCCCTTGGGGACTTTGGTTTGGGGGAAGGTTCTATAGGTTCCCAAAGGTTTGTTGTGTTTTCTCTAATTCCCCCCTCCCCCCCCCTTCCCAAACCGGTTCTGACCTTCATGGCTTTTTTGTGAAAAAGCTTCAGATGTTCTCTTTATTCTAAGGGTTCTGATACCTGCAGATGTTCTGATGTGTTCCTGCTGCTCTAGATCTAGCTCAGACTCTCTCTGACTGATTCTAAGCCCCCCCCGGGGTTTTTTTCCTTTTTAATTCCCTTTCTTCCCCTTTACCTTCCAGGGCGAGGGGAGAACACGTTCTGGGCCTCCTGGGAAAAAAACCCGGTGGACCGGAGCAGCATCAACGGTAACAGAACCTCTTTCTTCCTGTTTGCTGCTTTATTCCCTCCAGAACCTCTCAGGTGGTTCTGTTTGGTTTAGCTCTATGTTCTGATTGGACCTTTAATCAGGCTCCTCAGTCACGTCTGAACCTCCTTTAATGAGTCTCCTTGTTCTCTGATCTTCTCCCTGTTTGCCGTCGCTTCGCTTCCAGCTGAAAATGAAATTAGATCCACGATGGCGGCATCAATCAGCGCGTCTATCAGCTCGCCTTTATGGATGAAAACAGATTCAGTGTTTATAGAAAGCTCCATCTTTTATTCTAATGAAAACAACCGATGATCATTGGAGGGAGGCGACGCGCCGCTGATGGAAACTCATCATTATTGTTTGTTTTTCATCACATTAAACCGTTTTAGTTTCGCTTTAAAACGTCTCAGTCAATCTGCTTCACCTAAACAATCTCTTCTTCTCCTCCGTGGTCGTTTCTCTGCCGGCGGTCGTCATGGTGAGTCGTCCGTCTCCCTCTAACTCCATCTTCTGCTCTCAGACCGAGCAGCTCCATCTCCTCCTTGGCCTCCTGCCTGCTGGTTTCAGCCTCATCATCTTTCTTATCTCTATTCTTCCTCTCCTGACGTCTCTGATCTCCTCTGTCGCTGATTTCACCACTGAGCGTCTTTTTCTGTCGTCTTTGCCACCAGTTTATTTAATAGCTTTGAATAAATTACACATTTTTCTGATGTTTTCCACGTAACAAATATTGAGGAATCAGTTTTAAACGGCTGCTCAGACCAACCTGCAGCCTTTCCCCGTCGATCGCCCTGCTTTGATGCTCTCTCTCCATCCTCACACCTGAACATGTGACCTTCGTTCACGTCAGGCTGAATCCATTCTGGTCAGAATGACGACATCAAGCCGCCTAAAAGCATCTGTTAGGAAGTCATTCACACATTTCAGACACATTTCTAGGCCCATCAGAATCACTGCAATATAATCCTGTATTATAAAAGTTATACTATTTATATATTTAACAAACCAGAACCTGCAGTCCAAAAAGTTCAAATCAATCCTCTGGACTTTGTTTCCAAGTTTGAAGACGTTTCTCTTCCATCCAGGAAGCTTTATAATTCCAAATGTCAGAAATATCTCTGAGTTCCAGGTTTTATAGAGTGGACCAAAAACAAAACCTTTTAATGGCTTAGAAAACATGCAGATAGAAGCTGGAAAACAGGCTCCACCCCTAAACAGGCTCCACCCCTTAATGACGGGAGTCATTGAGAAATACCCGATATTGGCCCATTCCTCTGTTTAAGGTTGGTTCTTCTTTCTTAACAAAGATGGCTTCCTTCCTCTCAAACCACCTGTCTTCTTTGTCCATCAGGTGTAGACGTAGCGCAGAGTCTTGTCCAGAGGAGGGCGCTCTTCTGTGTTGGGCCATGCGTCTGTGGAGAGGTTGTTTGGTTTCCCCTATATAAGATCAGATTATTGACCTGCAGACACTCTGCTCAGATTAGGTCTTTAGGATGAACTAGAAACTAGAATCTGAACTTTACTGTATAAATAATATACTGTAAATAAAGGTCGCCTTAAATCTCTCTTCCTTTATCATTTACCATCCACTGTATATATCTGGATGATCTGTATTTACTTTATTTACTTTTAATCTATTCTGAATTAGGGTGAACAGATTTAGAAACGTACAATTAGCTCGGCCTTGAAATGTGTAAATAATGCTCAATAATTACTAAAGATCTAATTTCTGACAATATAACTAAAGCCTCCACAGTATGATTATAAATGAAGTTAAACTAAATAAAATCTCTCTTATCAGAATTTATTAAACATGTTTTATTGGACCTAAAATAAACGTTTAATGAGTGTCAAGGGTTCAAAAATATAAAATAAATAAATAAGAAAAATGATCTGGAATGAAATAATTATATAAATGATGTTATTTCTGTATCAGAAGATCAAACTTTTGCTTCTATCGGTCCCAGATTTGACCTTTTTAATGATTCACCATCTGCTTCATTTGATAATTGCCTGGAAACAAAATAAACAACTTTCTTCATATTTTTATTCCCATAATCCGTTATATTCTAGATGCCTGTAGTGATAATGGGATGTGTAATCAGTGCAGTATTTTAGTACCTTTGGAGGCGAGGGTGTCAGAGTTAGAATCCAGGCTTCAGGCTGTTGAACATCCAGGAGTTAAAGTAGGCCCCCCACGTAGCTGTCCTCCAGCAGTGCCTGAGCAGCCAGGCGATTGGGTAACTGTACGCAGAAAGCGTAGTCGTGGATCTCTGCCCACTGGTCACCACCAACCCGTTCACCTTTCTAACTGGTTTTCCCCACTCAGTGACACACCCACTGAGAAGCCCACTCTGGTGATTGGCAGCTCCATAGTCAGAAACGTTAGAGACACCAGGGACCATAGTCACATGGTTCCCGGGGGCCAGAACGGGCGACATCAAGTCCTACGGATAAGGTTAAATACAGTGAGATTGTTATTCAGGCTGGATAAGGATAAATGTTCCTCAGCAGCTGGTTGCTCAGTTTGCAGCTTCATCTGTTTCCAGTCGAGCTCCTAAAGACCAACAACAGGTTCTGGTCTAGATGCTGGATTCAGTCTGTTTAAAGAATCTGACCCCAGCCTAAAGGTCGGGTCTGAGCAAAGAAACCAACCAAACAAACCGTCTAATTCTGCCAACACCAGAGGTCAAAGGTCGTGGAGGTCCAGCAGAAGCACTGAGCTGTCCTTCAGGAGGACGTCCATCCAGGTGACCGAGGTGTATGTCAATATATGGACCAGGAGGGTCTGAATACTGACCTACTGAGATCCACCTGACTCTCCTCTTTATTGCTTCATGGAGAAAAAGCGATGAGCTGGTCTTCCTTTAGAGGTCAAAGGTCAGATTAAATGTCTGATGATGCTTCTGTGTCTCCGGGGACAGCGGCCGAACAGGAAGTCCACCCCTCTGCTGCTGGTCTCCATAAATCCGTCCCTCCGCGCTCCTCTGGAGGCTGAAGCTTTGTGCCAAACGGCGTCCTCTCACCAGAAGGCGGGAGCAGCAGAGGACATTGACCTTTGACCCTTCAGTCCTGACCTGAGGACAGCCTCTGAGCGCCGTGAGGCTGCAGCGGCTCCAGCTAATCCCCCTCCTCTTCCTGGGGGCCGATGCTTGATGCTCGCCATTATCAGATATTCATCTCTGATGACATCACCAAGAAATTAAGGATGAAAAAATCTGAGATTTATGCGAAAAGGGAAAAGGCATTTCCAGAGCTGTAATGGAGGCATTAACGTCTCCAGTCATTTCCTAAACCTTCCCTCCAGTCGCCGATGGCAGCGATCACTCATCTCCTCTGACCTTTTCCTCCAATAAATTATTTATTACATTTAAAGGATAAATTTAGCCGCTCTTACATTTCAGCTGTTGAACAAAGAAACCTGCAGCAGTAATTAAATGTCCGACGGTTTCAGCATCTCGCAAAGCGCCTCCGCTTCTCACCGTGACTCTGAGGCTGATGGTGAGCTGGGAGCTTTAGAGACTCTCTGTTCACAGCGGGGAAAGACCTTCAGTGTGTCCCTTCTGAGGAACGGAGAGTCCACCAGGATGGACATTATATATATAGACACACCTTTGTTTCTAGATGTTGGAGCTTGGCCTGTTTTCCAGTGTAGTCCTGTTTCTCTGACTGTGACTAACTGGATGTGCTCTCTTCATCCTCTGACATGGGAGCTGGCTCGGAGCTCGTCTGCCTGGCTGTGTGTTTCCTGGACGGGGCCGCCTGTGGAGCTGGTTGACAGTTGCCTTTTGTATCTATGCTTCTTTTTCTATGTCTGCTTCTGTCTCCTTGAACCCCAGTGGGCCTCAGCAGATGGCCGCTCACACTGAGCCTGGTTCTGCTGGAGGTTTCTTCCTGTTCAAAGGGAGTTTTTCCTCTCCACTGTCGCTACAAGCATGCTTAGTGTGAGGGATTGCTGAAGAGTCAATGAGTCGATGCAATCAGCTGGTTTTTGAACTGGATAGTGACCTGAGATGACATGTTTTACAGACTGAATTTAATTTATTTGAATGCATATATTTATATATATATATATATATATATATATATATATATATATATATATATATATATATATATATATATAAATATATAAATGCTGTTGTCAGCAGTTGTATCGATTGGTTCTGATGAACCTCAGAGAGTTTTTTGTTTTCTGGCTCCTGAATCAGTTTGTTTTGGACGTCTGTTGTTGTCTGACCAGCATCTCAGTCCCAGATGTTTTTTACTGACTGCTTTTCTGTTGGGGGGGGGGGGGGGGGGGGTTCATGTTCTTTGTTCTCCTTCTTCTTGTGTTTTAATCCCTGAAGGATTCATACATCAAAGGAGGTCTGTAGGAATCATCTGGGATCTTTGTTGCTCCTCAGCGTTTCATCCCTGTAGATTTTGGTTTGTTTGGTTTGTCCTGATAAAAACTAAAACATTAATGCCTAAAAATAAAACCATGAACCTCAGTTAGATCTGCTGTGAAGCTGCACGGCCCAATGTGGACGATCCTGAATTAGAATTAGAGTGGATTCAGGATTAGTGTCAGGGTGGGTTAACAGCTTTAACAGAGACTATAATCATTATTATTTCAGAAACATCCTAAGTTTCTTTACTTAAAGGTACACTATGCAACCAGTGTTGATTTTCCAGCGAGGCTCCCCCCAGAGGGCGAAAGTAAAAGTGCACTGTCGTAAATATGCTCAGCTGTTCTCCTGGTTTCTCCGTCAAGCCAGGCGCGGTTGTTTTGAGCTTAGCAGCGAATGACTAACGCTGCGTTCACACTGGATGTAGCTGGCGCGACAGAAGCAGCGAGTTTACATGCAAAGGTCCAGCGGCGCGTTTTGAGCTGCAGGCGCAGCACGTCTGAGCGGCTGCAGCAGCGCGTCGGGTGCGTTTAACGCAGGGAGAGAGACACAGCGCTGATGATCACTGCTCTTAAACAGTTTATTGACGCCTAAATTAACTTAAAAT